GTGATGGCCTGTGTGTCTCAATCTTACCGGCTGGCAAGGGTCTTGGAGGCCCCTCGTGCTGCCCCAGATGTTAACCCTTTGGTACTTGACTCGGGGGGAGAGTATAGGGCAAAGGGGCATATCTAGAAGGATATTACCGATTGGTGCAGAGGTATTTCCATATGACTGATACCAGCTGCACACTTGCTGAATGTCAGCCTGCCCATCCTGCCACTTGACTCCCCAAGCCTCAGACCCCTCCCTGCTCTCCATTCCCCTCTGGTCCAGGTCCTGCCTCCTGCAGGCTGACTCAGAGCGCCTCATGCAGCTGTGGGTCAGCGCCGTGCAGAGCAGCATCGCCACAGCCTTCAGCCAGGCTCGCCTTGATGACAGCCCCCGGGGTCCAGGGCAGGTACCTTAACCGGCAGTGCAGGGCTGGGCTGCCCAGAGAGCTAGGACATCCCTTCCCTCGGAGCCACTCTTTCTTCCCTTGTTCCCCCCAGGGCTCAGGACACCTGGCCATAAGCTCCTCTGCCACGCTGGGCCCTGGTGGGTTGACCAGGGGAAGGGAGCCTGGTGGAGTGGGGCATGTGGCAGCCCAGGTGCAGAGCGTGGATGGCAACGCCCAGTGCTGTGACTGCCGGGAGCCTGCCCCTGAGTGGGCCAGCATCAACCTCGGTGTCACCCTCTGCATTCAGTGCTCCGGCATTCACAGGTCTCTCCCCCGACCCCGGGTCCCAGGCGTGGGCCCCTGCTCCTCCTGGGTTGGGGGCGGAGACTTGCCTGGGTTTCTTCTCACACTCTGCCTGGTACCTGGGCCGAGGCTGTGGGGCACAAGGTGGACCCACGTGGGCCCAGCCCCTCGGTGTCCTGGTCTGGCCAGAGTAGGAGGACACCCAGGGGAGTTGATCGGCTTGTCTGGAGGACGTGTGGGGTCAGGACTGCTGAGGGTGGGGGAGCTGATGAAAAGCAGAGAGAGATGATGTTATGAAGACTTAGCAGGTCTATACAGCCCTCGGGGGGGGCGGGGGGGGGGGCGGAGGGGAGTGGCATGGGAAGAGTTGTCCAGGCCAGAATGCCTGGAGAGAGGGGAGGTGGCTGGAGAGGATGAGGAGAAGGGAGGAGATGGAATGGTGAACAGGCGGAATCCTCCTTGATCCCAGTCAAGACCACGTGACCCTGACTGCCCTCTGCCTCCTGGCCCAGCGCCTCTGCATGGGTCCCCCATGTAGGACGTTGCCCCTAAGTCTTTGCAGGAGTAGCAGCTGCCCCCACAGAGGGCCTGACATATCCCCCTTGCTCTCCAGGAGCCTTGGAGTTCATTTCTCCAAAGTCCGGTCTCTGACCCTTGACTCATGGGAGCCGGAACTTGTGAAGGTGACTTGGGGTGCTGTGAGTGTGTGGGGGTGGGATAAGGGCAGGGCCGCAGAGCCCGAGGGCTCAGACACTCACCCATACCCTACCTGTCTATCTCTGCCTCCACCTGGGCCGCCTGCAGCTCATGTGTGAGCTGGGAAATGTCGTCATAAACCAGATCTATGAAGCCCGTGTGGAGGCCATGGCTGTGAAGAAACCAGGACCCAGTTGCTCCCGGTGAGGCTGGGGCTACCCTCCATGTGGGGAGGGAGGGAGGAGGGCCCAGGATGAGAGGAGGGAAGACTGTCTCCTTCCCCTGCAACACTCCCCCGCCAGGCAAGAGAAGGAGGCCTGGATTCATGCTAAATATGTGGAGAAGAAGTTCCTGACCAAACTTCCTGAGATTCGAGGACGAAGAGGTGGCCGAGGGCCCCCCAGGGGGCATCCTCCTGTGCCCCCAAAGCCGGGGCTTATCAGGCCCAAGCCGGGGAGCTTCAGATCCAAGCCAGGTATACAGTTGGTTGGGCATCTGTGAGCGCCTGCTGTGCACTGAGCACAGTGCCAAGCCCAGTGGGGAGGCACAGAGTCCTGGGTCCAGGTCTTCCCCTTGAGAATGTTCGGGGGTCCAGACCGTACCAGCACTGGTTTTATAAGGCAAGAGTTTCAGGGATTAAAGTGAAGGATGGGAAGGACCATGGGGCTTGGAGGAAGCAGGAAGGGCTCTGTGAGGGTGCCAACAGCATGAGCTGAGTCAGGAGAATGAGTGAAAGTCTCCAGAGGCCTGTGGATGAGGGTGGGAGCTTGGCTGGGAAAGAGGGAATCAAGAGAGCTGAGGTTGACTATCAGCTCACCCCCAACGTCCCTGCCAGTTGAGGTGGTCAGATAGGAAGAGGTGAAAGATGTGTCTATTCTATATGCCTAGGGACCCAACCATATCCACTCACACCCTCCATCACCTCCCACCATAATTCCTGGTCTTGGAGTCCTCCCCACAATTGAAAAGTGACCTAAACCATCACAATGTCAGGGGTCTGTGCTGGGGGTTTCTTCCCCAGATTCATAGCTGGTTCCTCCTCACAGAACCCCCCTCTGAGGACCTGGAGAGCCTGCACCCCGGGGCCCTGCTCTTTCGAGCTGCTGGGCACCCTCCATCCCTTCCCACCATGGCTGACGCCCTTGCCCATGGAGCCGATGTCAACTGGGTCAACGGGGGTCAGGAGAATGCCACACCGCTGATCCAGGCCACAGCTGCTGTGAGAGTCTTGGTGACCTCCCTACAACACCTTTAGTCTCCTCCTCTCTTCCCTCTCCTGACCTTGGTTCCAGCTCTTAACCTTCTCCCCAGCCCCTAGGGAGTGATAACCAGTAGAGCCAGATTGCTAAGAGGGTGAGATTTGGAGGCAGAGAAACCTGGGTTTGGATCCAGACCCTCACCACTTAGAGCTGTGAACCTCCTTGTGCCTCAGTTTCCTCATCTGTAAAATAGGGATAACGTGCCTCATTAGGTTGTACTATGGATATAATACATGTAAAGAGCCAGAACAGAGGGACTTCCCTGGTGTTGGTCCAGTGGTTAAGATTCCGTGCTTCCAAGGCAGGGGCTGCGGGTTCAGTCCCTTATTGGAGAACAGATCCCACGTGTCCCGTGATGCGGCCAATAAATAAAGCTTAAAAAAAAAAAAAAAGCAGAGCCTGCCACCCCATACCACTGAACTGACCCGACTCCAAAAATATCTTTTGTCTCTAATTTGCCACGTTCTCTCCCCACTCTCTATTTCTCCATGCAGAATTCTCTTCTGGCCTGTGAGTTTCTCCTCCAGAATGGGGCAAACGTGAACCAAGTGGACAACCGAGGCCGGGGCCCGCTCCACCACGCAACCATTCTTGGCCACACAGGGTAGGGACAACAGGGATGATGGCCTCGGGAGGAAGGCTCCAGACAGGGTGAGGGGCCGGCTGAACTTGGCTATCTTGTCCAGGTTAGCCTGCCTGTTTCTGAAACGGGGGGCCGATCTGGGAGTTCGAGACTCTGAAGGCAGAGACCCCCTGACCATCGCCGTGGAAACAGCCAACGCTGACATCGTCACTCTGTGAGGGTGCCTGGGGAGGCTGGGCTCGCGCTTGCACTATCCACTTGGGCGGGGCTCACGCCAGACCCCAGCTTGCCAGGCGGGGCCTGGGGAGGGGCGGGGCCAGCTCCTGGACCGGACTGAGAAAGGCTCCTCCAGGTGTTGACTGAGGCTTGGAGTAGGAAGGGGAGAGGACAGGATAAACTCACCTTCCTTGGTGGATTTATTCTGAGAGAGGCATCATTCATTAACGTTGTCAGGCATCTTTAAAGTACTAGACCCTGGGGAAACAGGTGAATGAAACAACCCAGCTCAAAGGATGAGAAGGTGGGGGTGGGGGTGGGGTGAGAATGTCATTCATTCCTTAATTCTCTCCCACTTCAGGCTACGATTGGCAAAAATGAGGGAGGCCGATGCGGCCCAGGGCCAGGCTGGTAAAGTACACCTCCCCTCCACCCTGCACAACATTGTTAACTGTGGGCTTCTGGCCCCTGGTGACCTGTCCCCAACTCCCTGTCCTCAGCTTCATTGATTAATTACATTATTTATTCAACAAATACGTATTGGGCGCATCCTACGCTCCAGGTCCTTAAAACAAAGCAAATAGGCGAGGGCGCTGCCCTGACAGCACAGACATCTCCTCCACCCACATTGGAAGCGCGTGCTCTTACCAGGCCGGGCTGTCCCTATTGTGCTATTCGTGCTAGGACCCAGCCTCTCATCCCTTTCTCCCTCCCCTCAGGAGATGAGACATATCTTGACATCTTCCGTGATTTCTCTCTCATGGCATCCGACGACCCGGAGAAGCTGAGCCGGCGTAGTCATGACCTCCACACGCTTTGATCCCAGGCCTTCAAGGGCTTGCACCCCCATCCCTTCCCTCCCCACCGCCCACTCTTTCCATTAAAGCCTTTGTGCTTTGCTCTTCAAAGTTCATTTATTGGCCACCCCCTTCCGGCTGGGGCTGGTGAGATATAGGGCACTGCGACTCCTGGGGTGCAAGAGCGATTGGGAGTTTTCGAACTGGAGTCACTGGAGGGGCAACTCCTGGGAGTGAGGGGGAGCTTTGGCCTCTAGGGCGGGGGCTCGCGGGCTCAGGCGACGTGGCCAGACCCGTCCGGCCAGGCAGAGGCCGCTTGCGTGGCGTGGGTTGGGTCTAGCCTTGGGCAGGGATGGCGAGGCTGGCTCAGGCCACCCTGGCCCGGAGGCATCCCTGGAATGTGGATGCTCAGCACCCGCCCCCTCGGGAATTCCCCGCTGGAGCGACAGAAAAAGAACAGGTCCCCAACCCCTGACGGCCGGCCCTCAGTTTCTTGAGCGGCGGGATAGGAGATGCCGGCGTCCACTGAATTGTAGACGTGAGGTCGGGCACACCCGGGGGGCCGTGGGGCCGTCGCGGGTACATCCGGAATGACGTGACTGAGTCACCCTCCGGACCCCACCCCCGCTAGCTTGCGCTGGTTCAGCCTGTCCGCCCCGTCTCTCCGGTTCGCCACTCGGCTTCCACCACCACCCCTAGCAGCGCTCGGTCGGCGGGGGCGGGGGCGAGGGGCGGGGCGCCCAGGGGGCGGGGCTGCCTCTTAAAGGGCCCCCGGCCGCTGCCCTTAGGCCACTTCCTGGGGGCGGAGAGGACTTAAGCGGTTGCAGCGAAACCGGAGGAAGGCGTCGGCGCCCGGGTCCCGAGACTCCCGGCTGCTTCCATCGGAGTCCTCGGACACTCCCAGCTTGTACTGAACGTGCATCTGCGGTCCCCAGCCGATACAGAGGCACCCCCAGCCATCGGCTCCGGTAAGCCTCGCCTCCATCTTCTGGGACCCGCGCCGGAGTCAGGCAAGGCAAGGCCTCAAACTGGTCCCCGGAGCCCTGCGTGGACTTGCCCACGGTGACAGCGATCTGCCCGGGAAGCTGGACCCTTAAGAGTCGGCCTTGTGCTCGCCACCGTCACCTGCTGGTTGGATTCTGGAAAGCCACTGTCTGAAGACCACAGAAAGGAATCGCTGACCACCCAGAATCGGATCTCTATCTCCCGTACCTCTCTGACTTCCCTCTGCTCTTTTCATCCGTTCTCTCGACTTTTCCGGCATCTCTGTGCCCAGAAATCATCTCCCACCACCAAGGCAGCTAGGGTGAGCCCCAAATCTTGCTGCCTTGTACTCCAACCTGTGCCTCCCACTCAGAGACAGTCTGAACCTTACCACCCAGTTCTGCACACATCCAGGAAGTTCTGCCTTTTCTTCTCTTTCGGTGTCTTCTATACTCCTCAAAATTTCTCCTCCTCCTGTGCCCTCTTCGCCCCCCTCCTTCGGGGGCCCCGTGACCCTGAATGTCGGGGGCACGCTATATTCCACCACGTTGGAGACCTTGACTCGATTCCCAGACTCCATGTTGGGGGCCATGTTTAGGGCTGGTACCCCCATGACCCCCAACCTCAATCCCCAGGGAGGTGGCCACTACTTCATCGATCGAGATGGCAAGGCCTTCCGGCACATCCTCAATTTCCTCCGGCTGGGCCGCCTAGACCTGCCCCTTGGATATGGGGAGACAGCACTTCTGAGGGCAGAGGCTGACTTTTACCAGATCCGACCCCTCCTGGATGCCCTGCGGGAACTGGAGGCCTCTCGGGGGACCCCGGCTCCCACAGCTGCCCTGCTCCACGCAGACGTAGATAGCAGCCCCCGCCTGGTGCACTTCTCTGCTCGTCGAGGCCCACACCATTATGAGCTGAGTTCTGTCCAGGTGGACACCTTCCGGGCCAATCTCTTCTGCACCGATCCTGAATGTCTGGGTGCCCTGCGGGCCCGATTTGGTGTGACCAATGAGGACAGGGCAGAGGGAGGACCACACTTCCATCTGGAATGGGCCCCCCGCCCCAAAGAACTCCCTGAAGTGGAGTACCGCAGACTAGGGCTGCAGCCACTGTGGACCGGGGCACCAGGAGAGCCACGGGAGGTGGTGGGCACACCCAGCTTCCTGGAGGAGGTGCTGCGGGTGGCTCTGGAACACGGCTTCCGTCTCGACTCTGTCTTCCCTGACCCTGAAGACCTGCTCAACTCCCGATCTCTACGCTTTGTTCGGCACTAGGAACTGAGACCTGGGAATGCTGCCCTCACTTTGACTTCATGGGGGGTGGGGGAGAGAAAGAACGGGTCAGTAAAGGGGTTGAAGATTCTCTTGAGGCCTTTTCCTAGCTCTACTCCGGGAGCTGTGAGAGTCAGAGGCCCCACTGCACCTGACTGGAGAGCCCAAGTATGGACAGGAATCCCCACACTGGAGAGAGCGCACCAAGAGCCCACGAGATCACTGGGTCTGAACCAGAGCTGATCCTGGGAGGGCTGGGGAGGCTTCCCTGGCTGGTCCTCCCTGAGTCTGGGGACCTTTGGTGTTTCCTTGCTTGGAGCTCAGTATTCAGAGTCTGGAAAAGCAGGTATGCTTCTCTGTCCAGGCTCAACTTAGCAGGACTGTGAAAGGACGGTGAGGTCTGAGGGAAAGAAGTTTGGATTGCTCTAATGAGGTCTCCTGGACTGTGACTTCTCCTGGAGATGGTGGCCTCGCCTGGCCTGACAGATGAGAGGTCAGAACACTGAAATATGGGAAGGGAGGTTCTTTGCTGTGTCCTAAGCCACCACTGAGGGACACAGGGAGGGCTACGCCCTACCTTAGGTTGGCATAAGGGAGCTAGGAGAAACCCCATTAACTGTGGGGCTGGAGCATCCCTCTGGAGACCCAGGTGGTTTTTTGTTTTTGTTTTTTTGATCCAGGTGTTTTAAAGAATCCCATGTTGAAGGTGGGGCTGGCTACAGGGAGGAGCGGGGCATCTTCTTGGGTCCTGGCCTTCCTTCCTTCATGTGTACGTGCCTGTCAGCAAGTGGCTCTGACTGATGCATGGATCCCTGCATCCTGGCTCTCAGCCATGTTGCTGGAGGTGGCGTCTGTGTGCTGGTCTTTCTGTGGCCTCTGCATGTCCAGGCCTGTTAGGGGTTGCCCAGCAACTGTTTTGGTACCAGGTGTGTCTGTGGTATGGGTGTGAGTAGACTGACAATTAGTTTAATCACAAGGGGTGTGTGTGCACATGTGCTTCACACATCCACGTAGGCAGGAGAGGACTGCTGAGCTTTGAGTCACTAGGATCTTCTAATGAGAGGTAAGAGAAGTCACTGGGCTTAGCTAGGCCTTGGAGGCCTGTATAGAACTCTCTGTTGCTACGGCAACCATGAGCCTGTTGCTAGGAGATAGTTGGGGAAGGCCCAAGGCTGCTCAGGGCAAAGAGATGAACAGAACAGTCTGAGAGAGTGGGGGAGGATGTGGACAGGGATGGGTTTCTGGGTCCTTGGGGGTACGGGATACTCACAAACAACTTCTTCACTGGGGAGTCACTATTTATCACTGGTCGTGATTTACAGGAATAAAAATAAAATTGCTTTTGGAATCACCAACTCATGAAGGCTGCTGAGGGCTAGGTTGGGGGTATAGCAGCAGCCCTGCTTTCTCTACCCATCTCCCAATAGAAGAATCTTCTTCCAGTCCCGAATTCACTGGGCCCCAAGTTTACCCCAGCCAGAGATGGGGTAGTGTCACTGTGCTAGAATGCTCTAGAACCTCCAGACAAAGGGTTGGAACCAGGATCACAGAGCATTCCAGTGCCTTTCCAGCCTAGGTGGGGCCAGCCCTCTCTCCAGCACCCCCAGCAGGCCTCATGTGGACACTGGCATTAGGTGGCATCTTCCTGGCAGCCGTTGAGGCCTGTGTCTTCTGCCGTTTCCCAGACCGTGAGTTGTCGGGCCGCCTGGCTCGGCTTTGCAGCCAGATGGAGGTCCAGTGGAAGGACTGTGAGGTCTCCTGGACATTCTCGGCTTTTGCCTTAGGTAAAACCAGACATCCAGGGATGGGCCTAGCAACACTCACCCCTGTGCCCCAAGGGGCCTGCAAGTGGCCTCCCAGCTCTGCCTCTCAGCCATCTCCTCAGTCCACAGCCCTCTCTGGACACACTTTCTGCTCCCTCTGGGAGAGCTTCTTCAGACTCTGGGAAAGGGCCCAGAACCTCCTTCCAGGTCAATGAGGGAATCACACAATCCTTACCCATCTCCACAGATGATGCGTCCTTGAACAAAATCACAGAGAAGACTCACAGAGTCCTGAGAGTCATGGGTGAAGTCAAGGGGGAAGGCACAACCTAGGGGCTTGTAAGGCACAACCAAGGAGGGGGCTGGGGAGGAGGGGTAGGGAAGGGTGGAGGGCAGATGGAGACAGGAGAGAGTGATGGGGTGGTGCTGGGTGAAGGGGTGGAGGTCAACCAGCCCTGCTGAGGCCCTGGGCACTCTAGCTGCTCTCTGCCTCCCCAGAGATCAAAGGGTCTCTCTACTCACTCCCTTCGTATTGGCAATGGCTTCAGAAGACCAAGCTCCGGGAGTACAACAGAGAAGGTACAGATGTGGACCAAGGGGTGCCTAGGTCCTTGGGCAAAGGGGTGTGTGGCTGAGCTCATCCGCCCCCACCCTGCCTTGTCTTTCATTTCAGCTCTCTGCCCTCCCGCCTGCCGTAAGTAGGAAAGGGAAGGGGTATCGAGAGCCAGGGGCTTGGGGCACCTGAGGAGAGCTATCACGGAGGGGTGGAAGCATGGAGCAGAGGCTTCCCGCAGCACTGCTGGTCCTACTGTCTCCTGCAGGGGGCAGCACCATCCTGTACAACTGTTCCACCTGCCAGGGCTTCGAGGTGTACTGTTGGCCCCGAAAGCGCTGCTTCCCAGGTCCTTACTCCCTACCTCTGCCTCACCCCCACCCAGATCTCTGAGCTCTGAGGCTCCCCCACCATCGAGGGGTGTGGCCCCCGGGATCACTCACTGCCTCCTGTGTCCCCTGTAGGAAGTCACGATCTTTGGGAAGCTCGGATCCTGCTCCTCTTTGTGTGTGGAACTGCCCTGCTCCTGGGTGTTCCGAGCCTCGTGGTGGAGTGAGTTGGGGGATCAGGGCGGGAGACAACCTCACCACCTCCCACCAGTACCCCCTTATCCTTCCTCCTGCCCTCGCGGCCCTTCCCTCCTCCATTCCCAGGCCTCCCACCCTCTGATTTCCCTTAGGTACAACTACTTCCAAGCAAAAAGTTGACTTGTGAAAACGAGGACAGAGCCTAGCCTCCAGTTCTAAGGAGCTTGTGTGCCCACAACGTCCACTTCTCTCTTGGGGTTGGGGGTGGGGTGGGGAGGGGGGTGGACAGCCAGACCCTTAATTCCAGCCCCAAGTGGTTCAATCTTCCAGACCCTGATACTCAGACATACCCCATAGTCCCAGTGTCAGATGGTCTCCTGGGACCCAGGCACCCACAGCTAGAAAGCTCCTCCCCTTCATCCTTCAACCAATCAGATGGGGGCAGTCCCTGTGCCAGGAAAATATCTACAGAAGGAAAGAATCCCCTCTGCTCACCACCACTCCCACACCCCCTTCTGCCTGTTCCCGGAAAACGTGGGGGCTGCCAGGCCCCAGAAACTCCCCTTGGCCCTCCTGTGACTGATTGGGAATCCGGGAATGAGTGTTCTGGAAAAGTCCCTCCCCCTAGAGTGAGACCACATCAGTCAGCCTGCTGGCATGCTCCCCTTCCATTTAACATTGTGAAGCCTCCCACAGAGAGGGGCCTCCCTCCTGCCAGGCCCAACTAAACGTGCTGTCAAATGGCCTCCAGCCTCTGCCTGGCCTCTGTCTGCAACCGGGGAGGGCAGGGGGAGAGGGAGGCTCATGTAGCACAGTGGTTCTCAACTTGGGGAGATGGGGATTTTGCACCAGAGGAGATGTTTTTGATTGTTTTGATGGCGGGGTGGGGTGGGGGGAATGTAGTACTGGCATCTAATTGTTACAGACCAGGGATGCTGGTAAACATCTGAAAATGCATGGAAATGTTCTCCAGGACAAAGAATGATCCAGTCTGAACAGTCAGCAGTATGTGGTTGAGAAACCCTGGTGTCTGATCCCTTGGTTATCAGTTTGGATTTGGGGGATGGGAGATGGGACATGAAAAGAAAGGCCTGTCTCCAACTATAAGTCACAGTCCAAGGGCCTAGACCTGGGAGGGATCCTTGCCTTCACACAGCCCCATGGTTTTCAAACTGGATACTGAAGTTCAACCTGGAACTGGAAGCTCCCAGTTCTCAACAAGCTGCGTGTGTCCATGCTAAGTCACTTCAGTCGTGTCCAACTCTGTGACCCTATGGACTGTAGCCCACCAGGCTCTTCTGTCCATGGGAGTCTCCAGGCAAGAATACTGGGGTGGGTTACCATGCCCTCTTCCAGGGGATCTTCCCTACCGAGGGATGGAACCTGCGTCTCTTATGCCTCCTGCATTGGCAGGTAGGTTCTTTACCACTAGCGCCACGTGGGAGATCACATGTAGAGTCATCTGGTCATCTTAAAGAAACTACCTGTTGCTGGGTCTTGTCTCCAGAGATTCGGAGTTTAGTGGTCTCATATGGGGCCTCAGTTAATCTAATTTACAGCCAGCCAGGGTTAGAACCACTGTTGGGGGAATCTGTAAAGGTGCTGGGGATAGAGAGAAAGGAGTAATTTATCCTCTCTGGAGAAACACCTTCCATTTTGTTTTACACATTCTAGTCCAATGCTTTCATTTTACACCAAAAAATGGAACCCAGAAATCATATGGCATGCCCAAGCTCATACAACAATTGAAACATTCACTCATTTGATAAATACTAAGTGATTGCTAGCCAGGCACCGGACAACGCTGCCGCCCACACTGGGGTGAGAAGTGCCCTGCTGATACCCCAGCCACAGCAGCTCTCCTTTGTCTCCTGGAGCTGTCTCAAGTCCCCCAAGAATGTGCCCTCTTTCCAGGCTCAGCATTTTAGAGCTGTCGTCCTTCTCACACCCAACATGCAGTGGGTCAACAGTTTTGCCCATCTCTGAAGGACCTCGCTCCTCTCTGCCCCTCCTCCTGCTCTATGGGGCCCAGCCCCCTCTGGAACCCTCTTTCTCCCTGTAGAGCCCAGTATCCCAAATATGCATCTGACTCTGCTCACTCCCCTAAAGCCCACTGTGCACGCTTAGCGGCCACAATGGTCTTTTTTTTTTTTTTTTAATATTTACATTATTTTCCTGGCTGTGTTCGATCTTAATTGTGGGGTGGGGGCTCTCTAGTTATCATGCATGGGCTTAACTGGCCTGCTGCTTGTGGGATCTTAGTCCCCCGACCAGGGCTCGAACCTGTGCCCCCTGCATTGGAAGGCAGATTCTTAACCACTGGCCCACCAGGGAAGTCCCCACACTGGTCTTCTTAAAACTCCACATCATTCGACCCTCCTGTCCAGCATCAAATGATGCTTGAAATCTTGGGCTCTGGAGTTGGGCTGCCTGATTTCAAATCCTGGCTCTGGCACTTACCAAACCTTGGGAAAGTTATTTTTCTGTTCCTGTTTCCTCATGTTTTAAATGCGGATCATGTATTTCTTTGATTCTTTGGCCTTTTTTCCTTCTATCTACATTTTAACATCTCTGAAGAACCCATTTTAAATTGAAGACATGTCATAGCATAATGGTATATATTACAATTGAAAATATCTTAAATTTAGTGCAAAGGCACTTTCCTTACAGAATGACTGTGAGGTCCAAATCAGTTCATATAAAATGCTTGGGACTTTGCCCAACATGTAATGGTCCCTCATTAAGTATTAGCCATTATAATCTCTTACTTAAAACCTTCCCTAGCTTGTCTTTGCCTATAGAATATAGAGTTGACCCGCAGCTCCCCTCACTTTCTTTAGTCCTCAGGCCAGAACTGTCCAGACACAGAGCTGGAATCCCACTTGAATGCCCCACAGGCATCTCAGACTCCACATGTCCACCTTTCTAGACCTATCTTCCTCTCACTCCTGGGATTTCTCAGGTTAATGGTATGGCCAACAGTGTCACAGTCATCCTCCTCTCCTCATGCCATGCACCCACTTCTTACCAGTAAGTGGTCTACCTCGGTAGGTAATGCATCTTGGAATCTGACCCCCTGGTGTCCCCTGGGGCTTCACCTCAGCTCTGCCCACCCCACAGCCACCCTGAATCACTTCTAATTGCCCAAATACTGTTACCTCATATCTCCTTCCTTTGCCCAGGCTTGTTCTTCTATCTGGAAAGACTTTCTCCTTTGGCTCAGATATCCCCTCTTCTGAGAAAGCTTCTCTGAGCCCCCGAGGCTAAGTGGAGTGAGTCTGCTCCAGGCTTCTCTTGTGTGGCACCTGTTTACCTTGGGTGGTGGTGTTTCTTTACACATCTTCCCACTGTACCACACACTACTCTCTAAAGCCACTGCTTAAGGTTCTGGGTCTGTTTCCTCAGAACTTGGCACATGGTAGATGCCAGGAAGTGTCACTGATGACTCCAGCACCTTCTCTGAACCCTTGTGATATGTCTTCCACGGGTAAGCCCTTCATGAACACTTCACACAGGAGGCTGGTGGAGTTAGTGTTTGTTTTGGGCACATGAGGCCAACCTACCAGAGTGTGGCCTGTCAAGGCAGGGATGGTTTTTCAGAGCCCCTCACCAATCAGGAGGCTGCTGTGGGTGTGGCAGTTTTAAATAATGGCCCCATATTTAATTTAATTTAAACAATGGCTCCCCTCTGACATGCTGCCTACCTAGAGGTAAGTACTATGTATCATTCCCTTGAACCTGAGTTCCATGACTAGCTGGCTCACTGAATGTGGCAGAAGTGACACTGAGCCACTTTCTGAACCCAGGCCTTAAGAATCTGTCACATTCTGCCTCTTGGGACACTTACTCTGGAACTCAGTCATCATGCCATGAGGATGCCCAGCCTATTTTAAGGGTCTACATGGAGGGATTTGGCCAAAAGTCAGTATCTGCTGCCAGATGTATAAGTAACGCAGCCCTCTGCTCTCAGATCATCATCCCCAGACTGTCAGGTTTTCCACCCAAGGCCGCAGACAGTAGAGCAGAGGTAAACCATTCCCACAGTGTCCTGTTGGAGTTCCAGACACAAAGTCCAGAGCATAATAAAACAGTTATTTAATGCCACTTGGTATTGTTACTCAACAATGGATAACAGGGATGGTGGGGCAGAAAGAAGAGCCTAGAACCTGGCACTAAAAGCCCTGGGTTGGGACTTTCCTTGGGGCTCAGTGGTTAAGACTTGGTGCTTCTACTGCAGGGAACCTGGGTTCGATGATCCCTGGTCAGGGAACTAAGATACTGCATGCCACAGTGGTGTGGCCAAAAGTAATAACAAAATACAAAAAATAAAGAAAGGCCCTGGGTTGAGGATATGGCTGGCACTGCCACTTCCTGTTAATAGCTGTATATGTACATGAAAAACATCAGTTCACCAGCCTGAGCTTCAGTCTTCCTACCTGTAAGATGGAGTTAATGATGGTTAACAGGTATGGAGACTATGTGTCAGACTATGTGTTAGTTACCTATAGCTGTGTAACAAATTATTTTAAAACTCAATTGTCTGATACAATAAACCCTTATTTTCTCATGGTTTCTGTGAATCAGAAATTCAGAAGCAGCTAAAATGGGTGTTTCTGGCTCAGAGTTTCTGATGAGGATGGTGTCCAGATGTAGGTCAGGGCTGCAGACATCTAAGGGCTAGTGGATCAGCTTTCAAGATTCCAAGACGGCTCACTCGAATGGCTGGCTGGCTGGCGTTGGCCAATGGCAGAAGCCCTCAACTTCTCGACAAGTGGAGCTTCTCCATTGGGCTGCTTGACTGTCCTCAGGACACGGTGGCTGGCCTCCTCCAGAGTGAGTGATCCAAGAGAGGGAGGTGGAAGCCACACTGCCTTTCACTATCTAGCTTTGAAGTCACACACCATCCTCACAATATCCCATTGATTACACTCTTTGTGACCCCATGGACTGTAGCATGCCAGGCTCCCTGTCCATGGGATTCTCCAGGCAATAATACTGGAGTGGGTTGCCATTCCCTTCTCCAGGGATCTTCCTGACCCTTGGATCGAACTTGTGTCTCTTGCATCTCCTGCACTGGCAGGCAGGTTCTATACTACTGTACCACCCGGGAACCCCATTGATTACACAGATCATTGTGGAAAGGCATGACACTGTAATACCAGCTGGGGAGGTTCACTGGGAGCTGATTTGGAGACCGGCTACCACACACATGGGCACAGTTAATTCTTCAATAACCCCGCAAGGTAGATACTCCTAATAATCTCATCTTGAAGATGAGGAAACAGAGGTGTAAAAACAAGAAGTAACTTGCCCAGATTTATAGGATGGTAAGTGATCAAGCTGGGATCCAAACTCAGGTAGTCAGACTCCAGAAGTGAGCTCTCAGCTACTGGTTTAAAAAATAATAATAATTAATTAGGCTGCAATAGATCTTAGTTGCAGGACATGGGATATTTAGTTGCAGCATGCAAACTCTTCGTTTTGATATGTGGGATTTAGTTCCCTGACCAGGGATGGAACCCGAGCCCCCTGCATTGGGAGCTTAGAGTCTTAGCCACTGGACCACCTGGGATGTCCCAGAGCTACTGTTCTGTAAAGGCCCTCAGCTCCATTATGAGCCAGATGGAATACGGCAGATTTAAGACTGCTTCCACTTTGGAAAGAAAACCATCAGATAGATACAAGGTGGTGGGCTGGTGACTCCATTAACTAGTGAGGCAAATGTAAACTGGAAAAGAATGGGAC